TTTCTTTCAGTTCTAATTCTAACTGATGGACAATCACTGCCCGTGAGCGAACATGAATAAGAAATGAACAACGACACCATTAAATTTATCCTAATTACATTATACTGACAATATATCAATAGTGAGCAATCATCTCCAGGCTGAGCATGTGTTTCTAAAGTACTTAAAGTAGTAGAAATCTGCATAGTCCGTTCATAGCTCACACACAGATAGATACATGAGTATAATTGCACACATGTATTCATATTCAAATCACCGCACATGCACACTTGAATCACCTTCCAGTGAGGATGATGTTTTCATATGTCATGATGAGGCAATGATTTGCTGCGAAGAATCCTCGCTTCATGACGGGGAGACAAAATCGAACCCAATTTCTGTTTGTAATTAAAACCATTTCCACATTCGCCTCTTGGAAGGCCACAACATTCAGAGGTCAATAGCAGTCTAATTCAGTCATTCAGGGAGCTGTACTGCAGAACAACAGCTTGCAGTTTCCTTAACATCCACATATTCTGAACATGCAAATATAGTAGTAGTGTGGCTTAATGGACCATAAGAATTAAAAGTTTACAGTGACCTCCTGTTGTTTCATTTTAAATAATGTTGTCTCTAAAACTACTTTTACTGTGATTTTAAAACTAATTATACAATTCTTCTGTTCTGTGTTGATGTTCATATCATTTGTGTGCTGAGTTTAATGACCCAAGATCATCTGAGAATCTCTGAAGTCAGTCAGTCAGCAGTCTGAAAATAAACTTGTTTTCTCTTTATTCCCAAACAAAGCCTGAGTAAGAGTTTAGTTTGAAGTTGAACTGCTGCATTTGTGGTCCGACATTATAGAGCTAGACTTTCCATCACTCGAGGGTCACACAGTACTCATGAATATAAGGTGGGAAACACATGTGCAGAAAGGCAGGTAAAATGTCCAAAACGCGCACACTTCAGCCCAGAGAGTTTGTAGCTACTCGTCACTGATGGTGATAAATCTCGCTATCATTATTAAATCCATCACACAATGTTTATGACTTCAGTCTAGTCTCCCGCGGGTATGCTATTTCATCTTGTAGACACGCAGTAAGGATAGAAAGAACAAGCTCATTGGTCACAAAGAGAGAAAGCGTTCTCAATCAAATAGGAGCTTACCTTGCAAATAAAGTTCTATATTTTGATGCTTCCATGTGACAGATGGTAAAAAATATGCCAAACTATATAAAAATGTGCTGACAGAAAACAGAAGCAGACTGTCATCGATGGTACAAAGTGTTAATCAACTTTTACCGCATAACATATTTTGCAGTTTGGCAACTTTTGTGTTATTAGTCATCTGAGAGTTTTAAAGCACACAAGTGCAGATCTACTTTGAGCCTCTTTTTGATGAATGTCTGTTGATGATTTCGTACGGGGAGTCAGCATTACCAGTGTTTCAAAAATTAACTTGTTCCTGCTGAATCATAGTGGCAGTTTTTTTTTTGGCAGATTAACATGTATCCTGTTGATATTGCTATATAGAAGCAATGCGGTTGAATTGCTGTCCTACAACAGGTACATAACTATTTGTAATTGCTGTCTCAATGCACCAAAATCGCTTTGAATACCACAACTGACTGCTAGCGATCACAGAGTTGATCCTCATCTTTGAAGCAACCATTTTAAAGTGAACAAGAACCCTGTGCATTGAACAAAAAGTTTATTGCACAAAGCTGCAATAATTTTGGTCGTGCTGTGGAGATTAATCTTGGAGAATTTTTTATATCAGGAAGGATCTCGTGTCACATGCACAATTTTAAACGGACAACTCTTCATTTTGTAAAGTTTTACTTCCACTCTTTTACTCTTTTGCACTATATTGGATAAAAAGTAGTCTTCGGGCAGATAGATTTTATTTTAATGGCTACTGAATGTCATAAACATTTACACAGTGTTTGTAACGGGGCTCGATTAGATTAAAATCTTTAAACTGTAATATAGTCTTAGCTTTTCAACTTGCCCTCCTTTAAAATGAGAGAAATCATCTTGCATTTAAGTCGACTTAAAGTGTGCATAAATAATAAATTAACTTAGCATCAGTCTGCCTTTCTGTCACTTTCTTTCTCTATGCTTTTTTCTTTTGACACTAAGAAGGTAATTTTATGAAAGGCGGGGAGAAATGTTTGGGACATATTTATTTCCTTACGTGATGCGATTATTCTCACAATTTTGCTTTTAGTGTCCTCAGGCACGCTTTTAGGCACAGTTAACTTGACTGTGTTTAAATACATACTTGTGGAAAACCTGTATTGACATATTCCCTTTTTGCATAATACTCAAATCCACCGGAGTGTGCATTGGCACATAAAAAGCTATTCACTTATTCACTGCAAATTAGTCTCCAAATCCATATAAGCCACTGATAGCTGGGAAGAAATGCAGTAATCAATGACAGAGGTTTTTCTTTGCCTCCCTAAACAGAAGAGTTATTTATGTGTACTGACATCAATCAGCATGTAGTCTCTGCTTCAAACCAGCAAGTTCTAGAGAGGGAAGAAGTGCTTTCTTTTAATGATTTATTATAGCCAATCTGGTGTGTGTTTATTATTTATCATTATTCAAACAATGTTAAGAGAGCATGTTACTACATTTCCTTCACATTTCTTTGCCAGTGTGTTATATCAGTGTCGACAGAGAGGAAGTGGCGCACAGTGTAGCGTAATGCTGTTTGCTGCAGGTAACTATTTGCAGTGACAATTAATTAAAGCCAAATTAAACCCTTTTACATTAAAAATAAATCTGTTAAATTGTATTGTCTGTTTCTTTCCTCGTTGCCGCTTCTTTTCCTCAAAGCTGCATTTAGTCAACTGTAAACTGTCTCCCCGCTGTACTGTGCATTACTGCGAAAAGTCAACACAAATATCAAACTAATGCAGTGGAGTATTATAGACTCCTAAAAAGATTTCAACAACAGCAGCTTTCTGCTGACCTTTTATTCTTACCATCAACTACGCTGAGAAATCTTTCAATAGCTTTGCATAATAGTTTTGATTTAGATTTGTGTATAACAGTGTGTAAATTTGCTTATTGTGGTCTACATCCCGATGAACATTTGGACATCATGACTGTTGATCTGCTGTATATACCACACACAAACACACAAACACACACGCTATGGCTCTGTTCCATTTTTTTTAAAGTTGCATTTTATGGTATCACTCTTTGAACTATTTTCTTCCAGTCGGGCACATTAGCTAAAAGAAAGCAGGCAAAGAGTCCAGGTTAAGTTTGCTCATTTTGTTTCTGTTGTTCTTTTGTTGAAGTCGTACATTCTGTCTTTATTCTTCCCATTTTTTTTAAAATAACGTCTACTAGCACAGACTTTAAGAAGACCTTTTTACAGCATAGAGTATGCTATCTTAAATGACACATGACTGAAAAACACTGACAACTATCATGCAGTTTTTAAAGTCTAGTACTAGTAGTCAACTTGTATTGATTGGGGACAGTAACAAGTGTTTTCCTACTGTACGAACACTGATTAGTCACTTACTTGACTAGCAGTATATCCTAGAAAAAGCTGCTTGTAAGACCCTCTTACTACAAGCACTTACCAGGGCATTACTGTCTGACATACAGAAGTCTTTCTTTTACATAATAAATGAAAAAAAAAGTAGTATAAGAGCCAGCGGATGTGACATGTTAGGCATTATTTTATCGGCTATGTCGCTGCCCTGAAGGTTTTAACAGTAGTGAGGGATTGTAAGCCTTTGGGCTGAAAAGGAAATGGACCAAGGATTTTTCTTTTAGCGATAAGGTTGACTGCACCGGGCTGTGAGAGTGCTTCACTGACTAATTATTTGAAGGCTCCTCTCAGATTAGGGTAGAAGTGCAGAGCTTATGGACAGTTGCATAGCAGACAATCAGACCATGTAATAACCAGAGGGCCAATATTTGCTCAAATCCACTGTAACTACTTGCAAAACAAAAGTGTGTAAAGCCCTAATGCTCAGTCCAATCCCACGGCACACTGCCTTGATAAACACCGACGCCACCTTCACAATGGACGCCATCTTTACTCTGGCAATTAGGCAGAGTTTTGGATTATCGCTTCCTCAGCCCAGCACACCACAAATCCTTCCGGATTCAATTATTCCCCTCCCACGTCTGCGGCCATTTGGGCTTTTTGGGCACATGGCCAGTAGAGGAAAGAATCTGAACTGCTCAAAGTAAAAAGTTAGAAAGAAAAAAACGTTCTTCTTCTTCTTCTTCTTCTTTTTTTTTTACTATGCCTATACTCCTGCAACTTTGACGAGTCTATTAAATTAAAATGAAACCTCGGGAACTTGCAAACACTATCCTGTTGAATATTTTATGAGAACAATAAGCTAAATTTACTGTGATCCTTTCCTTTAAATTTTGTAAGTGTTCGGTGTTATCTGAAAAACATTGCACTACATCCTTCCCTCCAAGCTGCTGATGGTTTGATCCTCCCCCTGTAGGCCAGGAATGTCTCCAGTGGTTTCTGCATAAGAAACTAAAATGCTTACTGAAAGAATTTGATTTAGTCTGTCTTATTCTACTTATTCTACTTCAATTGAGTTGTTTTCGTGTGTTAGACAGCACACTCGGGGTAAATTGTGTACAAGATCAAGGGTTTCCAGGGTCAGGAGAGTTGCATCTTTGTAATTGAGGGCCTCTCTTCAATGTGTTTGCTTAGATGCTTTTTTGTCTTCCACCTGGTGACTCTTTGTGGAGCACAGACATTTCACTCTAGTGCCTTTGTGTGTGTTGCCAGCACATCTGCTACACAGTTTACTCATGGTAGCATGGAAATTTATCACAGGTCTCAAATAAAGGACCTCCTTTTTTTGTATATTACCCTACCTGACCCATCACACTGTTTATGCTTTTGGGTGCTTTTCCCCTCTCATCAGTAAATGGCCAACTGTGGCTGTCACCTGCGTTTTATGTGTCTCTTACTCACAGCCTAACACTCTCCTCTGTCCTTCTCCTCTTTTTAATTACAGATACTACTGTCTCATCCCAGAAAGGTAAGACAGCATTTAATCAGTCACGTGTAGATTATCGCATATTTTCAGATGGGTTCCACGTGCTTGTGTTACTCCTGTGTGTGTTCCAAATTTTTGCTAATGAGATGACAAAACATTTCATGTTTTTTTGTTAATGTTGATTTGAAATTGAGTCACTCGTGGGTTTTGTTGCACAACAATCTTTTTGATTACAAAGTCAATCACTCACACCCACTGACACCCAGACTAAATTACCTTGCTACTCTGCAAAGGCAGACAACCCACAGTCTGTTTTTATGCACTGTTTTCTGTAGGTCTTATGTTCAGATTAATCACAGTTCTGTTTAGACTCCTCCACACTTTCATGTGAATGCTAATAAGAGGTTGGAGGAGGTGACTGTTTTGCATAGTGGCTCTTCGGGGACAGACGGGAAGTTTAGTGCAGTTGTAGGAAAGTACCTGTAGGCTGTTTAGATTTTGTAAGATGATAGGGCCAGGCAGTCAAATTGTCTAAACAGCTCCAGGGGTCTTGTTCTGAGTGGCAGGTGTATGCACCAGGCAGTCCCAGCCCCTATACTCTTGCTAGAGATGATACAGTAATGGCAGAGGGTGTGTCACACTCGGTGATTGCAAAGAACGATCAGACAATCAGCCAGGAAAACTCCCTGCTGATTTTGTTGAAACTGTCTTTTATTCCCTGCTGTGCTTATAAGAATATAGATATTCTTTTGTACAAGCTTTTACCAGAGCAGAACAGAACACAGATACAAATATTTTCATTGTCACCTGGATCTGATATAATGCGCATGTATATGTGAAAAACCTAAACAGCAGGTGGGTTTCTCTGGGAACATGGTGGCATTTTTGCCTTTCAAAGCTTTAGATCTGAAAAAGATACAGTTCATCTGCTTGACTGGGTACACACTGTATGCTCTCACTCACACACTGTTGTGAGCCTATGTATGTGATGACTGTGTGGTGTACAATGCTGTCAGATTGGCCTATAAAGGTAAGTGATGCGGGTTGCCCGAGCCTCGCTGTCTGATGAATGTTGAAGGGGTGCAGAAGCTCGCGAGGTGTACATCATCCCTCCACAGCTGCACTCGCATACGTTTCTGAAGGAAGTGGGGGGATAAATAAGGCCGCGCAACCCTGACAGTGAATGTGTGTGTGTCCGTGCCTGTGTCTGACTTAGTTGTGTGCGTGTTTTTGTATGTCTTTCTTTTCTTTCACATCTTGTATGTCCAATTCAAATCTGTTTAGTTAGAAGCATCAACAAAAACAGCTACCAATCCCACACAATGAGAGTGTCATCTGGCTGTATTCATTAATATACTGTGAGTTATAGATGGTTATGCTGCTCTGAAAGTGTCATCAGTGCTCAGCAGCCTTGTGGCCTTGAGGCAAAGATAATGTTCATATACCATGTGTTTGTATGAAAAGATGTGTATATGTTCATGTGTGTGTGTATGTGCACCTCAGCACAAAAGATGAAAAAAGCTGGAAGTTTGTCCAGCAATTTCAATGCAGTTATATTCAGCACAAACTAAGAGGCTACATTATATTACACGTGTTAGACTGAAGGGCAGCACACAGTAGTTAGGTCCAGGTAGGATTCAAGCTACATTTGAATAACCTTTACTGTTGTTCCATACCAATATGATTAGTGATTAATAAAGGCTCTTATTATAAGTTGACCTTATTCTTCAGTTTTCTGCTTCTGTGGAACATCTCTGCTATCTGCACCTTTCATGACATCCTTTATCCAACACTTCTCCACCCCCTTACACTCCTCCTCCCTCTCTGCTGCCAAACGAAGTATATTTATGGCACCTGTGCTGGAAAAACAGTCTCCAGGAGACGTCCCACTAATTTCATTTTCAAAATGCCAGCAATAAATTTATCAAATGGGCTGAATCGAATCGGAGTCACACGCTGTGCCATCCGTCATGGGCTGTCCCTCAGGGGCCTGTGGGCGTACTTAAGCCGGCCAAAAACCTCCGCTGGCAGGAGAAACCAGATGAATATACTAGAGAAATATGCTGAGAACAAGAATGTGTGCGCATATCTTTATGCGCTTAGATCCATATGTGCAAGCATAAATTAGCTTGTCCACACGCAGGGATGCATATGTGTGCACAGAGGTCAATGCTAATTTTTCAGCTCATAGAAGCCTCATGTCGAAATCTGAGCTAAGCGCTTTGGATGTCAATGTGCCAGAACAGTAATTGATTAATTGCAACACAAGTTAATTGATTGTTTTGCACATTTTTGCTTTTGTGAATCCCTCTCAGTTCAAACACTGCTTTGAGCTTTATCCCCTCCCCTGCCTCTGAAAACTCGAGTTTCACACGCTCTGTGCCCTCCCATTCCCCTCCCATTTCTCACTGCCTCATCCTCTGTACCTCACTGTGGCACCTTTGCCTCTCTTTTTAAATGCCTCTGTCCCCACTTTGCTTTTGTTTCACCGATCTTTTCCTCTGCCTATCTTTCCTTGCCCTCTCAACATTTATCACCGTGCAGGCTAAGCCAGGCATGAGGGAGGGTAAAGCAGCTTAGTACTAACAGGTCTAATGAAGTCAGGCCCTGTATCCCTCTAACAGGGATCAGTGGAGCTAGTCTGTGAAGCCTGTCAGCATTTAATGATTAGATGAAACATTCAGACACCCGCTACGAGAAGACATGCACACTGATATATGGTAATACCCAGCTGTGGTCTCTGTTACGCAACTCAACAAAGAATTATGCACACAAACACACTCTCACTAGCCCCCAAACTCCAGCTGTAAAGATCATGATTTATGACTGAAGCATGGCATCAAGGGTATACACAGCAAAGTGATTGGAATAAAAGCAAATGACAGAGAGGTTCAGAGAATGAACAATCTGGCTATTGATTTTTGCTATGTGCAGGAAGGTGGACAAAAAAGTAAACTGCATGAGAGAGATTTACTCCTTGACTTGATGAGCAGACTGTAAACAACTCCACACGCTCTCGTCAAGATGCATGCTGCGATCCATGATTTTTCCCTGCTTCTTGCTTCTGCTAAAATGCCTGATAGAAAATCAATAAACAGGTCATCATCTTTTTGAACATTTCAAGATTCACCGCTGATTAATTCTGAATCCTATTAGATTAAGTTGTCCTAGTCTGTGCCCATGCACGGCAGCTTAATGTGTGCCCGTGGTGTTGTACGTGTTGTTGGCATATGAGAAAGTTTTTCAGAGGGAGTACGTTAGTGTGTTGAAATGCTGAATCTGAAAAATAGAGTGACAGAGGCAATGGTTGGGTCAACAAGCTGTCTGTTTGTCAGAGTGAAAGGGTGCCCACAAGGCCTTAGCTGCTTTTTGCCCCATTAGCTGCACATGCAAATTTACCTGTCAGCTTTACAGCTACACAAGGAAATCGCAGTCTTCTCAACTTCTCTGCCTCACTCTTATTCCAGTTCCCCCCCCCTCTCTAAATCTCAAACTCCAGATCTCCTCCTCATTACATTTTGTTCAATATTTTCCTTCCACTGCAAAATTGGGAACATATTCTGTCCTCACACCAGTAATTTCTCTCCCTCTTGTAAAAGTACCTGTTTAACTCCACTTGAAGGATTGTGAGACACTGGATTTGAAATAAATGTATGTGCATTTCTGCCAGAACGCATCTGCTGCTTCAAGGCTTTTCACATATCTCTTGCTTAGCAAAGCCTCATAAAAAAGTACTTGGCGAAGCTACTTGAAAATACAGTTTTTCTAAGGAACCACTTTCAGCCAAAGAAGTTGAGAAGGAAATGTCCACTGAGCTTAATTTATAATTTGTTAACTGATAATTATAATACTGTAATCCTTATGTGATCTTCTCAGCTATTAGCTGCCTCGTAAATCCAGCCACAAAAGAAGCTCCTCTCACTCTATGGCCACATCAGAGTGTAATGGTGTTGCTCAGAGGTAATATAATAAACATTAAGTTGAGTACTAGCCAGGATATAAATAATGATATGTGAGAGACCCTGTCTGGACTCATGAATTAAAACCCCATCCTGTTTCCATGATCTAGTTCTGGAACATTAGAGTGTTCAGTTGCTAAAAGGGGTTAAAATGTTGTTGTAGCTGTTGTCAGTGAAAACCCTACTTTATCCCTCTTAAAGCATCCATCCATCTGCCCATCCGTTTTCTTACTTATTCAATGTAGGGCTGTGGTAATGTAGTGTAGGGTGGTGGTGGGAAGGGGGTTCGGGCTTATCCCAGCTATCAAGGCAAGATTTTGCAATCAGAATTGTGATCTGAATCCAACGTTTTGCCAAAGACATTTTCCTTTTCCAAAAAAGCGAGCTCTGTCAATTCTCGATAGCCTCTTCTTGTTCACGTGTTACTTTTATTTCGTCATTTATTAATTTACATTCATGTCATGTTCATTATCACAGTGCATTTGTAAGAGGGAAGTGTCCAAGCTAGGAAGGGGGAAGAAAAAAAAGAAAGAGAGAAAAAAGAAAAAGGGGGATCCAAAACTTCTACAGGAACAAAAAGCATTTATGCAACCATGAATTCAAGAGTTCTGCAGAAAACACTTCTTTGCCGTTATTCACTACCAGAACTCAGGAGCAGAAATGGAAGTTACGATGGTATTTCACATTTGATTCTAAATTCAAATGAAACAATAAACAAGATGGTTAATAAAACCAAAAATGACAACTTTTACCAATATAACGTATCCTCAAGGAGAATGTAAAGATGAGATAAAGTAATAGTTGCAATTATTTTCAGACATTTGCACCCTGTGCAGTCAGACTCTAAATGGCTTTGTTGATCACATACTGTACCTATCATATGGTTATACAGCTGGTGCTTTGTTTTACTTTGACTCATAAGCTTCACAAACACTCTACGCACTAATAAACTGTAAGAATAGACCTTATGTATGCATTGCTTTTGATAGTAGCATATAACTTAACGGATTTTGCTTGAAATTTTTTATTGCCATCCTTTGTCCTCACAGAATGAATCATAGTGCCATTGTTCCCCTGACTTTT